GTGAGAAACTGTGAGCATCCTAGATCAAGCTAAATCCAAAAACACTAGGGAATTCCTGGAAGCCTGGCATTCAACCAAATCAGCCATCAATAGACACAGAAATAAACCATACTTACACCATCCAAAAGAGACAATAAAAAAGCTAAGAAGGAAACAAAAGACCAGAACCCAAAAAAAATATTCTCTCCAGTGGCCAATACCCAGATAAGCAAGGATTAACACTAGACAAACAATCAAGCAGAAAACAATACCCTAATCAAGGTACTACCAATGAGAAAACCATACCCCCACCAACCCTGGCAGGGCAAGCTACTGGTTATAAACAGGGAGCAAACCCCACACTCACTTGCACTGATGATGTAACCTAGTTGGGTAATGAAATGTCTGCAAACAAAGAACCAAGCTCAGAAAGCACCAAGGACTCCATAAAATTAGAAATGTTGTGAAAATGAAGAATTTGTTTAACTGTATTTACATCATGCCCTTCTATACAAGTCTAAGGGCTGTAAGACGTTAATATTAATATTATCAACAAGGGTTGTTGATAATAATTTTATAATAATTTTATTTTAGTATGTATTTAGTACAGTAAGCATTTTCCACTACTGTCTGCTTGGGATCCAAGATCAGTACTTGCCTATCTATAGCGAGTTAAAGGCAATTTCTGCTTCTGATGCACTAACCCTGAATTCCCTGAGTTGGTTATAAGTTTTCCTCTATTTTCTTTTTTCTTGGAGATAATGGGTAAGGGGAAAGATATGAGCACACAGAACAAACTTCCTGCAACTAACTCTGCAGCTATTCTGGAGTTTTGGGGTCAAATGTACTCTCCAACATCTGCAAGGATCTGCAAGTTACAGACAAGGGTCTGTAACTGATACAACTTATAATTTGCTGACACTGGACTCAAGCTGAGATGTAAAGGCTTTCCAATATAAAAATTAAGATATACATTTGCTTGGCACCTGGCAGTCTGCTGCCTCTTAGGGTAGCAAATGGAAAATAGGGTAATTTAAATCAAGGTTTCTAACAATACTTTTCAGTTTTTCTCAAAACAATGGAGAAAAAGCTGATAAATAAAACATAAAAAATTACATACTAAAATAAAATTATTATAAAATTATTATCAACAGAATTGAATTTATTTGTTGCTCTGTGTTTTCTACATTTTCTATTTACTCATTGTCTTTAAAAATTCCAATTTTCACAAGACTAGTAATCATAATAGTTTGTGAGAAAAAGTATGGAAATATGAACACCTAGCAATATTTTATTCCATTTAATATTTTTTGTTTCCACCATTGATCATTTCTAACTCATTATGCCATCTTCAGCCCACCTCTTCAGAAAAACAGGCAGAAAACAAAAATTAAATATCCAAGACTGATATATCAGAAAGGCAGATTGTCAACTTATTGGAAGAACATTTGAACTTTAATGATAGAAATTCTGTAGAAAGATCTGCTATGAATTAATGACAGTACTCTATATGATGTATCATATGTCTGCATTTCCTAGACAGTTACACCAGGAAACTGTTCTTTGTTTTCCTTTCTTCCTTGTGAAGTTACAGAGACAAGGACAAATTGAACTTTAGAAAATACTTCAAGAATTTTACATAAGCTGTGAATTTTAAGGAATAGATTTCTCCATTTACATTTGCATTTATGGCTGCACAGTGGCCCCTTTCATTCTCTATTTAACAGCTTTCACAATGTTACTAATTAAAAAAAGGTTTATGATGGATTTCTGTATGTTTATTCAGAACAGCAGGTAGTACTCAAGTTATGATGGTTATTGGGACTGGAATTTCCATCACTAAGCGATGCAATCATAAAATGTGATATCACGTGACTGTATTACTTAGTGATGGCAATCCCAGCACTCCCCGTTGCCATCATTAACCAAATTCCATCGGTCATTAGCCAAGGACCCACCCCAGTCCAAGCCATTCTGGGCTTGGTCCCTCCCAACCCCAAGCCTCAGTTCTTCCAAAGTAACAGACTGCCTCTCCTTCAACTCCCCCCAAATGCCTATTCCCCATCTCTGCCCTTTTGGCCATCCTACACCCTGCCTTGTGGGGCAGCAAGCAGCCCCAGAACCACACGGCTCTGGGGCTGCTTTCCACACTGCAGCTCAGGGGCTTCTTGGTGTGCCGTGGCTCCGGGGCTTCAAGAAGCCCCTGAATTGCAGCACAAAGCCACAGCCACCCTGAGAAGCCACAGCCACCCCAGCCCAGGCCCAGTCCCCCTCACCACCTTGCACTCCAAGCCCCCTGCTGCCCTGTGCTCCACCGTCCCAGCTGATTTTCCCTATCTTCTTGCTCCCACTGTGAAGAGGTGTGCTGCCCTGGCCCTTCACAAGGTAGCTGCTGGACATGTGAGGCCATCTTCCCCAGGTCTTGCAAGGAAACCGCTGTGTGCAACCTTGGGAAGAAAGCCTTGTGTAGCCAGCAGCTGCCTCGCAAAGGGTCAGCCAGGAAAGCTTGGTCAGCAGCAGCAGCAGCAAGATGGCGAAGGTCAGCTAAGGCGGCAGAGGCCACGGAGTGCAGGGGCCCAAAGGGCATAGATGGGGGGAGTTGAAGCACCCTAATTTTGCTCTTGTGACTATGGGGGGATTACAATGGCTGTAACTTTGGGGACTGTTCATAAGTCCCTTTGTTCAGCGCTGCCATAACTTCGGGCAGTTGCTGAACAAACAGACATGAAGTGATGACTACCTGTATTTGCATTAGGTTCAAGAAGATTCCTGATTTACTACCTTGTTGCCTTTATACTGAAAATTCTGTACTGTATTATAAGAAACTTGAGCATAATATCCTAAGATTCCAGATTGACTGTTAATTTTAAAATGAGCAGGTAATCTAAAAGGAGTTATAAAGGCTTACATTACAATGACATCCTTTCTAGAAACTGTGGGTTGCTTTGCATTGTTGTATTTGGTTGGTATTTCCTCGCCTTCACTTTCAGATGACAATTCAATAACATCTTTCCGATATTTAAAATACGTTGATTGCACTGTCCTCTTTGATTCAGGAGTTTCTGGAATACTGGAGTCATCTTTGGAAGCAGAATGAAGGATAAAAAGTATACATAATTCATGAACAGAATTAAAATGTTTACTGTAACTAATGTATATTAGTTGAAGCAGTCTATAACAATGGTAAGTAAAAAATTGTTTAATTGTGGAGCCTAAACTCAATTTTGGCAGAGAAAAATGTGAACACGCACAGAAATATGTAACCTTATAAACTGAACTGTGACTATACAGATTTTCTGTCAGAGGAGAAGAGTTTCTGTCCCCTGACTTTCTGCTGCTTTGAGAAGCTGGCAGTGGGAAGGGGAAAGAGAAGAAAAGGGAAAAGATTAGATTGTACACAATGAGATGGTAATAATGACAAACCATTAACAAAAATCAAGAGCAGTCTATGGTTCTTTTTCAGGACTACAACAATTCTGATCCCGGAGACATGCAAGATGTTCCCAAATAGAAAAGATAGCAATACAAATAAGGGAACAACAGGTGCAAAATAGGATTGCTGCCTGACAAAGGTTATGGGATGTAAATTTAAAAACCAAAACTCCTTGAGAGATGCTTGATGGAAATTTCAATAAAGTTTAACCTTTTATAACACCAAGCAATTTGCTGACACTTGAAACAGGCTACATATAGTGCGAGCTTTGAAAGTGGCACGTTTGACATGCCCACTGAAGTATAGTCAAAGTTTATTGCCAAACTTTAATATGGAGATGTGGCTAGAGAGATTTACTAAAATAACAAGATGGAAATCAAGAAAGAACTTGCAACTTGAAGTGCATTAGATTCAGATAAACATAGTTTACAGATATCTGCTCTATTTAATAAAAGAAAGTTTCATTATTAGGCCAATGAAACATATGCTTCTCCACTTTCCCAATATTTCATTGATTATACAACTACCACAAGCCTGATTAAAGAATATTCTGTTCTCAAGTTTGGAATATCTGCACTGAAGCATTCAATAAATCCAGAATGAACTATAAATAGACATCACATTGGACCAGAAAAAAAAAATTAAACACATTTTACTTTTTTAAAGATCAATACAATTTATAAACAAAATGAATCTATTTATTTTAAGATTTTGATTAGTAATGTAGTCTACAAGTGCAGAGCCCAAGGAAATGGATTTTTTAAAAAATCAATACACAAAACAAACTCCATTTAGAGTAAATTGAAGGCCATTTAATTTGGCATAACAAAAGCCCCATCTTACCTGGACTGAGACTTATTTTATTGTCACTTATCCAATCAATAACTAAGACTAAACATTCGTTCAGAGTGGTTAACCCCTCTCCTGCACTGTATGAAAAAGCGACACCTTTACACTAATAACACTTTACAACAGTCCTTCAAGTAACTTCTTCCTTCAGCATGTAGATTTAAAAAAAACTATGGGGGTCAGAATAGAGCCATGAAAGATCCCAAAACAGATTACATGGGATACAAAAGCAGTCTCCCAGCACCTCTTTCTGGAACTGGCTGTCCACACAGGTTTGAAATCTTTGTATCTCCTATTCCTAATTCAGACAACTTCTTTGGAACAATACTATAGCAAAGAAAGCTGTTGAATGACTCAGGAGAAGGAGTATATTTCCTGTGTCTTTCTCTCAGCTAAGGTATACCATACTGCAGTTAAGAAATCTTCATTCAAAAACCAAGCATAAATCACAAATCAAACAGATCAAGATAATATTGCAGTAACTCAAGTTCATTACAAGTAGTCCTCAATTCACGACCATTCGTTCAGCGACCATTCAAAGTTATGACAGCACTGAAAAAAGTGAGATATGACCGGTCCTTGCACTTACAACCACTGCAGTGACCCTGCAGTCACGTGATCAAAATTTGGAGTGCTTGACAACCGGCATGTATTTACAATGGTTGCAGCATCCTGAGGTCACGTGATCACCATTTGCAACCTTCCCAGCCAGCTTCTGACAAGCAAAATCAATGGGGAACCATGTGATTCGCTTAACAACTACGTGATTCGCTTAATGAGCATGGTGATTTGCTTAATGACCACTGCAAAAAATGTCATAAAATTGGGTGCAGTCACATGATGCCTCACTTAACTGCTTAACGCTGAATATAGCTATTAGTTGTTGCCCTAATAGGTAGCACCCAGTTTGGGGCAAAGGAAATAGTCTTCTATGTGGAGCATATAAGATGTTAAAAAAATATCTAGGGATAGCGCTATAAAAGAGTTGGGAGATTTTGGCTTGGTCATTTTGGACATCTAGATCCCAAATCCTCTGCTTTAGTTCAGCCAGGGTTTAATCAAGTCCCAAAGCAGGAGTGTTGACAAGGCAAGTGTGATGGAATGGAATTATGAAGGCCGAGCTCAGGGAGATAAACATTTTCTTAGCTTGCCAGAACCGCGTGGGAGGATCAAGAGGATGA